AAGAACCATATGGTCCTCTCAATTGATCAGAAAAAGCCGTTTGACGAAATATAGCATCCTTTCCTGATTAAAACTCTTCAGAGTATAGGGGTAGAGGGAACATTGCTCAAGTTCATAAAATCCATCCATGAAAAACCCAAAGCGAATATCATCATCAATGGGGAAAAGCTGAGAGCCTTTCCCTTAAGATCAGGAACACAACAAGGATGCCCACTCGCACCCTATTATTCAACATAGTACTAGAAGTCCTAGCAACAGCAATCAGACAACAAAAAGAAATAAAAGGTATTCAAACTGGCAAAGAAGAAGTCAAATTCTCTCTCTTCGCAGATGACATGATACTTTATGTGGAAAACCCAAAAGACTCCACCCCCAAATTACTAGAACTCATACCGCAATTCAGGAATGTGGCAGGATACAAAATCAAGGCACAGAAATCAGTTGCTTTCTTATACACTAACAATGCAACAAAGAGAGAGAAATTAGAGAAACGATTCCATTTACAATAGCACAAAAAACCGTAAGATACCTCGGAATAAACCTAACCAAAGAGGTAAAGGATCTATACTCTAGGAACTACAGAACACTCATGAAAGAAATTGAAGAAGACACAAAAAGATGGAAAAACATTCCATGTTCATGGATCGGAAGAATAAACATTGTTAAAATGTCTATGCTACCCAGAGCAATCCATACCTTCAATGCCATCCTGATCAAAATTCCATGACATTTTTCATAGTGCTGGAACAAACAATCCTAAAATTTGTTTGGAATCAGAAAAGACCCCGAATCGCCAAGGAAATGTTGGAAAAGAAAAACAAAGCTGGAGGCATCATGTTGACTGATTTCAAGCTATATTACAAAGCAGTGATCACAAGACAGCACTGTACTGGCACAAAAACAGACATATAATGAAAGTTCTTTATAGAGAATACAAATGTCTAATGGGAATAAACACTGTTTACTGCTATGAGATATAAACCCCCTATTCTGTCGTGTTTATGAAATTATACTTCAGTCCTACACTCTTCAACAATAATACTTTTATGAGAATAGACTTTTGTTGAGGGCAACTCAAAGAGCTGAAACAGGTAGCATCTGAATTACTTGTGTAAAATACTTAGCATAATGCTCAGCACACAGCAAGAGTCAAATCTTATTATTTTTTGATCTTGTTATTACTCTCAATATTATAATTATGAAGTTACACTATGTAACACTGATAATACAGTAGAAACAAGAAAACTGTGCCTTGTAATCCTTGATTTGGTTTCCCTGTGTGCATCTTTATTTTGTACTGAAAACTTATGAAACTGAAAACTCCAAATTTTTTTCATGTTTAGATTTTTAGATGTGTCCAATCTTAATAGGTAATAGGAAGATAGAAGTAGAAAGATTCATGCAACTGTAGAAGTGCCTCTCTTGTGCCACCATTGCTTTGCAAAGGAATAAGTAATACACAGAAATGAAGAGTTTTTATAGGATACTATTATATTACTAACAGTATTTATCTTTCGTTTTTAAAGCAAAGTTCTTCTACCTTCATGCAGCCATCCCAGCTTCTGGAAGCCCCATCACCCACAATTTTCTCTTATGAGTGCCCATGATTCCCTCTCAGTTATAAATTTCAGATTCTTTTGCAAACTAATCAAAATCAAGTTGCAAATTGCTGATATCCAGTGCTCAGGAAATATTTGATGTATTGAAAAACAGCTAAGAAGCAACTGACTGATTGTTGAAAGATGGAAGCAGTCGAAGATTGCTGAAAATTGGGCTCATGTCTTCAGATTGCTGAAACTTAGATATTCTAAAGTCTTTAGGGATAAAATCTGCTCCTTATTCATTGTTTTTCTGGTAGATATCACAGTCTCTAAATAATAAATAAATAAATAAATAAATAAATAAATAAAATAAAATACAAGAGTATGGAATATAGGGGTGCCTGGGTGGCTCAGTCACTTGAGCATCTGACTCTTGATTTTGGCTCAGGTCATGATCTCAGGATCATGGGATCAAGGCCCAGGTTGTGCTCTGTACTTAGCATGGAGTCTGCTTGAGATTCTCCCTCTCAAAAAAAAAAGAGAGAGAGATTCTCCCTCTCCCTCTGCCCCACCCCTCACTCGTGCCTCTGAGCACATGCACTCTCTCTCTCTCTCTCTCTCTCAAATAAATAAATAAATAAAATCTTTAAGACAAAAAGTGTGGAATGTATACAAAATAGGTATCTGAATCATTATTCCATTCCTGGAGATGCCCTCTTAACCAGGTTCCCTCACAAGGGCAATCTGAAACTAAACTTACTCTTAGTTAAGTCTCTACAACTTTCTGGAGCCTACATTGGACTTTCTGTGACCACACCATTAACTCACTTGAACTGGAATTATTCTCATCCTTAATGGAGTCCTTTTTGCTTATGTTCAAATATACAAGGACATTTAACTATCCAATGAGATTACGTATGCAAAGAGCCCAGATACATAATAGGCATTTCATGAATGCTAGTTTCCTTCATGTTATCTCCGCTAAGAGGAAAACACAGCCAGTTGTTTTTCATTTTCATAAACAATAGACAATAAAGATAAAGATTTAATTTTTTATGGAAATAATGTTAGATTAAAGAAGTAGTTGTATACTTAGACCATAGGCATGATCAAACAACAAAAAGGACAGGTTTTAGATAATTTTAAAAACAGGAGTGGCCGTCATCTTGCTTAGAAACTGAAAACTAGCACTCCACAATAGTAACATGGATCAAGGATCCCGTTGTATCAAGAGCACTGAATGAAGGAATAGCAACATGTTATTTTTTTCAAAAAAGAATTGCCAGTATAAAGATAACCATGATCAAAAAAAAAAAATTCGAATGCAGAAATAACACAAAGAGTGAACAAAATCTCATAGCCAATAATTTGTGGTACTATGGTTACACTTAGTCATAAATTATTACTAAGCTTATATAAGTAAGTAGAATGATGTATTTCTTCCAAAGTCTTAACAATAATTTGCTAATAATGGACTCATTTTCCAAAATGTCCTAATACTATTCATACACTCCAAGGAATTTAGTCTAGCAACTGTGAGTCAGAAATGTATATCTTCTTACTTTAGCTGCTAATGTTCTATTTGAATCTAAGGTTATCATATAAGTAATATGTGATAACTTCTTCCCCAAGCATTCATTTAAACATTGTGTTTTTGTGTAAAAAAAAAAAAATCACTTTTATTTTCATCATTAAAAAATAGTGCCTTTCTGCTTAATCTCCTATTTCAGTTCCTATGATAGGTTGAACATGCCTGTTAAATTTCTTTTTCCTACTTGACTAGAACTTCTTGGGAGCATAGATTGTGCATTATTCATTAAAAGTTCCTGGTAGGGTGTCGGAAGCATAGTAGGGGTGCAATAAATTTTATGAAATGAATAAATGAATGAATGATGCTGTATTAGATATTATACAAACCTAGGGTTCAGGGGGATTTAAAAATTCATGGCATAATCTAAAACTGAATTTATTAAGAGAGAAAATCTGGTAGAGATCTTTTTCAATCTATAAAGATGTGCACATTCTGGGATCTTAACTATCCAGCTATCAATTCCACAGTTCATAAGATAACAAAAAAAAATAAAATCATACATTCAGAGAGTTTGGGGCTGGCTTAGCCTACTGGCCTTTTACAGGTGCAATTTATTTTTACAGTAAAGAGAACACTGAGTCTTCCCAGAATAACCTGATTCCAACAGACTTAAATAAAGTTGTTCATTTTTCCAGGTTTTTGACATACTTCTGTCTTTCTAGACTATGAAGTGAATCTCCATTTCCCAAAAGCCCCAGTGCTGATTTTAATGATCCTGTTCACGTGACATACATTTTTTTTTGTTGTTTTATTGCTATTAATGAATGACAAGTGAAGGATATTCATTTTAACTTGAAAATGTCAGGGATGCACTTTAAGAGATATATTTTTGCAGCTTTTAATGAGGTGGTGTTTCTTTTTGAAAGAAATACTCATCTCTGATGCGGGTGCTGTGCAGGTGACAACTGATATTTAATAAGTGATGGTTCTTGTATTAGTCGCAGTTCTCTAAAGAAAATGTCTCAGATTGCTTTTGAAAAACTCCTAGCATCACTAGCCCAAAGGCAAGATGTGACCTTTTTATTACATAATGAGAATCATTTATTATCTTACAATGTATCTTAAAGTCACAGACAAAATGCCACTTTGATAATTGCTTTCAATTAGCTTTGAGCATAGCATATATTCATAAAATGTCTTCTCTAATTTAGACTTGAATTAGAGAAAATTGCAGACATAATCTACTTTAAGGTTGTCTCATTTAAGGTGATTCGTAGTTTTATATCAAAGAAATCAAAACGAGTAGCTTTAGAACAGTCTCTCAAAGTATTTTAAGCAGGCTTTTCAATATTTGATTCTATTCTATTACCAATTAATTAACAAATTAGAAAGCTAGTTCATCATTTCTGGCCTTTTTTGCACGTTAACTTTTGACTTTCATTCCTAATGATTGTTTTGAAATTAAACCTTGCAGTTCATGTGGAAAGAGAGAAACAATCTGATTAGCAAGATAAATAAGGCTTGCCTTGATCCCTGGTACATCTTGATGTCGGACTGTAACTAGGATTCTGAGTACTGGAATGGCGCAGCCTATCCTGCTTTAAATGGTCAGTGAATTATACTAGCTAATCATGTGACTGAAACAAAGAGTTTTGGGCTGTTACCACAAGTGAGGTTAGAGGTAACATGATATTTAAAATGTGATTTCAGTCAATTTTTATTTTTTGTTAATGCATTGAGCATTAGCATTTGGCTTAAATGCAAATTCTTGTCTTCCTTAAAAATATTTTTGAAGTAATGAAAACTCTGAAGCTGCATTTTACCCTCATGGTGTTCCAGTAGCTCGTAGAATATTATTAACCTTAACAGAGATTCTCTGAAGTCGGTATTATATCTGGAGATTACTCTCTTTCTCTTTCCTTCCCTAGATAAAAATTACACACAAGAACCAAGCCCCAATGCTGATGGGTCCTCCTCCAAAAACCGGGTTGTTCTGCTCCCTCGTCAAAAGAACAAGAAACCGAAGCAAGGAATAAACCTGTCTCATTTTATTCTTCGAGATCTTATTAGCATAATTGGGCCATGGAAACTTATGCTGGAAATCTTTGAACCATTTCACTTCTCTTGCTCATGCAAAATCATGGAATTGGTTTAACAGTTTTTGTTACTGAGCTAATGTAAAATTCAGCTATTAGAAAATTTGTCTCAGTTTTTATAGGCATCTTTGCATGAAGAAGGCAGAAGTTTACATGAAGTGGTACTGCATATTTTTGTTGCATGCATTCCCATAGATTTTTATGTCCCCCATCCATTCCTCCCCCAGTTTCCATTTACTAACCTGTGAGAGAAATCTGTGAGCCATAAAAGGAAATACCGTGGGAAATGTGATTCTCCGTGTGATTCCAATTATTGATAAGCACTAATCAGTAATGCTACGATGGTCATAACCACAGATTGCGATACTTTTCCCTTTTAGAATCAGTGTCTCAATGACCTTTGAACTATGACTTGAGAAGAAACTTTTAATTGGAAGATTTTATTAAATGGTTGTCTATGATACCTCGCTGTATCTAAATAGTTTTTCTTCAACATCTTGATGCTTCTGAGTGGATTTTAAAATTTCAGGCATAAAGTTTTCTTGTGCTAAAAAAAATAGAAAAGTGATTTTTATTTTGTTTCATTTTGTTTTTAATTCCAGAAATAAGTGAAAACAGAAATAAGTTACTTGGCAGTAAATTGTGGTAATATGACAAGCCTTATTCCTTTCTGCATGTGGATCTAGAAGAAAATTCATAACCACACCAGTAACCAAATAGCTGTTTTAAACTATGTGCCTAATATACTATCTCCCACCAAAGATTCAGAAAAAGATGCTTGAGAGAAGTGGGTTCATGTATAATTAATTAGCATTGTGGAGAAAATTTATGGTTCTTATGATTAATTTTTTGATGACTTAAACTCTGGAAAGAGAGTGAATTACCCATTAATTATAATTAAAGTTCTCACCTTATGCAGACAATAGGCCATACAACACAGTCAAAGCTCAATTCGCTGATTTCTAGCTTTTTTTGATCATTTATAAATATAGGTATCTGTAATTTTTAATGGATCAGTTAAGTGCACTTGAGAAAGTAAATGATTGTATCAGTTTTGTTCTAGTATAAATTGATACCTGTAAGAAATATCAAGTTCACCGAAGCAAATCATGCATGCAATTAACCCTCTCCCATCAGCCTAGGCCACTCCCATCTCTATGGCATTTCAAATGTTTATTTGGACATGATGGCCCAAATCGTCGTTTACGGTATTCATGGTATGGTTGGAGTCTCTGTTTAAAGAAATTATGGAATATGTACTTTTCTTAGTGTTTCATTAAATCTATGATTATAAAATGAAATGCTATTCTGACTAGTTTGAGTATTGTTCATTCATATTGACCTGCATCTCATCATTGCATGTTTTATGTTTTTAAACATGCCATAAGGAAAACAAGTGCTTGAAATGCATGATTTATTAGTTTTTCTCTCCACTCTGCATTAAAGTACTAATGATTTATCAGTTCTGTTTTTCTATTGATTCATTCATCTTTGAATAACAAATAGCATTTAGTGATTCTGTTGAACACACTCCTGTGCATGGATTTATGGATTTCAAGTGAAATTGCTATAATTTTTGTTCTTTGGTTTGAAAACTCAACTGAATGCTGTTATATCAAATAGCTACTCTCAAGCAATGTACTATAATGGAAGATTATGTATAAAGCGTATTATTTTAGTGTTCCAGGAACATTAGATGGTAAATATCAATCAACAATAAGTTTAATTGCTCTGAAAATAAAAGCTTTTGAATAAAATTAAGACATAATTTAGCATTCCCAGGAAAATTATCATTACAATTGCAAATGTGGCACAGCAATCACTTGCCCTAGTATAATAAAAAAAAAAAGTTATTTGGCAGAGCAGTAATCTGGAGCAAAAGAAATCTCTAAACAGTAACAAATGCATTACTGACATAATGTTACATAACACACACATTGATTTCGTGTATCTATGGTTACAGGTAATAAATATTTTTACATAAATTGACACAATTTTCTACAATGGGCAGGCAGGCTTTGTATCAAAACATATTCTGAAGCCACCAATTATTTTATGTGCAGTACACATACAATTATGTCTTGGCTACCTTTTATAGTATGTTGTGTGAAGGCAGCAACAGTTTGTGAATCATTCTTAACAATCTGTGCAGTGGAAAGCTACTGAGGAGACAGTGGGTTAGGACGAATCAAACAACCTGCCTATCAGACTTCCACAGTTGAAATCAAGGGATGCAGCTTCACTTCGGTGTAGCTACAGAATTATAATTAGTGATAATAGTAGTTACATTTTTCAGTCAGAATTCATTGGTACAAATAATAAATGTTCAAATAGAGATCAAATGTGACTGCCTTCAACTCATTTTCTAAAGCTACTGACATGCTTGCCCTTCAAGTACACTACTCCTGGGGTTTAGAAAGTAGTTTAAAAAAAAAAACTGACTTTGATGGTTTTAAAATCAGAGAAGATATTCTTTCCATTTTTATGGCAGCCTCAAGTGAAGCATATATATTTTAAGGAAAATTCTAAACGGAAAGTTTTATGGTATATTAAAATACTGAATAACAAATGTTAGCTTTTCAAGATGGAATTTTTTCTTCTCTGTGTGTGGGTGTTGTAGTTGTTGAGTCAACCTCTTTAAATATAGTAGACATCATAGTACAAAGTTTTAAGTAGATGAAACCCTAAAGTAAAAAATTAACACTGGACTTGCAGGGGTCAGAGGAACAGGGGAAGAGATATGCATTTTGCTCAACAGTGCAATACACCGAGTTGATAAACAGACATTCCAGGAGAATCCTGACTGTCCAAGCTTCCAGTAGGAATGGAGATGTCTATGTGGATCCAGAAAGTTTAAAGGATGTAAGTGTATTTTTCCACATACAGGTGTATACCATGTGTATTCGATGCAAAAAGTGCCGGTCAATGTATTTGTGGAGAAAGAAGGTATCTTGTAGAAGGTGAAGAAAACAAACTTTTAAAACAATTTTCATGTTTAAACTATCTCTGTGACTATAGCCATAACAAAGCAGAAGGCTCAGCTGTTTAGTGTCGTCTACTGCAGGTAGAAATTTAAATCTGATGAATTGTGTATATGTTTCTGCATTTTGTTCTTTTTTAGGGGGATGGGAAATAATTGCAGTTTTCAAGGGAGAATCTGTTTTGAATTTCAGACTGTATTCTACTTGAATGAGACAAAACTTTTAAATGGTTCCATTCCTTTTTGTGTCAGTTTAGTGTTTATTGATTATAAAAAGGAAAATGTACCTTTCATGGCACATAGAACTCCCCAACAATTATTCAAATACAATATGTATATTCTAAACCAAACAATGAAGCCCTTGTAATATATGTTAAGGATGTAAAATTTAAATAAATAAATAAGCAAACAAAACCCGCAAAAGAGCTTTTATTTTGTGACAGACAGAAATCGCCCCTTTAGTCTCCCGACTAAGTTGCATTCCATTTAAATAAAATTTGAATAAACTCACACTGAGGGATTCTGTACATCCTTTTTGTGTTTAAAAACAGAGCATTCATTTAATTACAGTATCTTATTAATTATTTTTCAGAAAGTGTTATATACAATATCGTGCTTTTTGAAATAAAAGTGTTAACCACTCAGTTAAGTGTCATTCCTTCCTGCCATTTTGGCCAGATTTGGTCCGTACATGAACTTTTCAAGCAGTTGCCATCAGTCTACCCCACTGGATCTCCGTCTTCTGTCAGGGAGGAAGGAGTCTGGGCATTTGGGGACTGAATTCTGTCATTAAGAATGGAATCATTCTATTTTGTGCTGCTTTGGCCCCAGGTTGCTGCTGTGAACATTATTCCAGCAATTTCAGAGATCCCAGGAACACCAACACACTGGCTGATAGACTTTTGGAGACTGAAAGATGGGGTCAGGGGTTCTGGGAGGACTTAAACTGAATTTTCCAGATGAAACCCATTTTGAATTTCATTTCGTGTAGCAGACTTCAGCAAATCTCTCCTGGGCATTGACTGGGAATCCAATATTTTACAAAGGGGTTACAGCAGGTAAAGGGCAGTAGTTCTTTGCGTTCTTTCTACTTGAGGTCAAGATTGGCTACCCCGGGTGTTGGGTGTCCCTGTGGATGTGGTGGCCCCCAGAGCTGGGACAGCACTCTGCGACACTGCCATGTCACTGACCAGAATGCTGCTTCCTCCTTCTCTTCATCAAGTTTTGGAATGGGCCCATGCCCATTCAGCTTGACAACTTCAAGGTGAATCTGCCTCTGGGAGCTGTAAGAAGGTTCTGAGGACGGAGGTGTCAACTTTAATCCTAGCTGCACATTTGACAGAATGTAGTTCAGAGGAGAGTTAATCTCTCTAAGCCTCCGTCTTCTCATCTGTACAATAGGCAGAAATACAGGCCCTGTATCAGGGTTGTTATAAGGATTTAAGTAGAGATAACTTTCTAACTCATTTTCTTTTTTATTTTTTTTAAGATTTTATTTATTTGACAGAGAGAGAGAGAAAGCACAAGCAGGGGAAGCAGCAGAGGGAGAGGGAGAAGCAGGCTTCCTGGTGAGCAGGGAGCCCAATGTGGGGCTTGAGATCCCAGGACCCTGAGATCACAACCCAAGCCAAAGGCAGACGCCCAATGACTGAGCTATCCAGGTGCCCCTCTAACTCATTTTCTATCAGCAGCGGCAGGAGACTCCTCTTCGTCCCCACTTCGGTCCCTCCTCTGCAATACCAATGATAGTTTTCTAGAAATAGATGATATTCCTCATCACATCACCCTGTTTTACATGATAGAAGTCCAAAATCCTCAGGCAAAGGGTTTTCATGAGCTGGATCTTCTTAACCTTTCCTCTGTCCACTTTCCTCCTAACCCCATGTGCAAACTTGGTTCCAGCCACACCATTCCACTTGCATTTCACCAGATATGCCATGTTTTTTTCATGGCTATGCACTTCGGCAAATTTTATACTCACTGGCACATTCCCTTTCTCAAGGGTTGGTTCACTTCTGTTTGCGAGGATTTCTGGACCCACCTTTGTCCAGAATGCATGAGAGTAGTTCTGGTGAGTCTCTGTTGTGCCCCTTTAATACTCTGATTCCTATGCTAAAGTTTTTCACTCCGTATTTTAAATGGTTACTTGTCTGATTGTCTCGTTAAACTGGTGAGTCATGTGAAAGCCAGCCCTGGGTTCTAGTCCCTGCTGTTTTCCTGGGGCCATCCCTATAAGATATCCAATAATCTTTGAATAAATACAAGCTACCAAAATTCCCAAGTTCCCATAAAACGTATATTACTCCTTTCAGAAGAAATTATATAAAAATAGTCTATTCAATAAATCATAAAAGTATGACTTTTTTTACAATTTTATTTTATTATCCCTTATAAACTTTGGCTGAATAAACTTACAGTTCATTCTTATGTCTTTCTCACCTCTTGTCATTTTCCCACATGCAGTAGCACAACATTTCCAACTTTTTGGTTAATTCGGTAGCCAAGATGGCATGCACTTTAACTCACAAGTGGTTATCACTGGGCCAGCACAGGCTCCGCGTGCCTGGTGGGGCTGGAAGTCATGGATAGCTGTCTTCTATTCTCCCAAGGAATGCTGGGGAGATATTATGTAGGCTAATGGCCCCCAAAAGATGTTCACATGCTGATATTTGGAGCCTTTGAATATGTTATGTTACATAACCACAGGGAATTAAGGTTACAGATAGAATTAAGGTTGCTAATCAGCTGAGTTCAAGCTGAAGAGCAGCCTGGATTATCCAGGTGTGCTCAATGTAATCTCAAGGGTCCTTTAAAGTGGACGAGAGAGATGGAACCGGTCAGAGTCAGAGCGAGGTTTGAAGATACTGTATTGCTTCGTTTGAAGATGGCGGAAGGGAGACCAGAAGCCACAGAAAGCGGGAGTCTCTGCAGAAGGTAAGGAAAAGGATTTTCCTCCTGAACCTCCAGAAGGAACAAAAAGCTTTAATTTTAACCTAGTGAGACCCATTTTGAACTTCTGAGCTGCGGTACTAAGATATTAAGTTTGTGTTTTTTAAGCCACTAAATTAGTGGTAATTTGTTACCGCGGCAGTTGGAAACCAATATAGGGAAGTAGGAAGGTAGAATACCGTGTGCAGGGCTGTTGCTGAAACATTGATGCCTTTTAAAAGAGAATAAAAGTGCTGTTGCTTAATCTTTAATGCATTTGAATTGCTTAATCCTCCCTTAAATGCATTTGAATTTCGAGAATCCAGTACACATGGCCTCACCTTTGACCCATGTAGCTAAACTGATGAGGGGTGGAGAAAGGGAGATTTTATTTCCAGTTCATTCGTCTTTGATTGATAGTGCTCTAATAGGGGAAAAGAGAAAAAAATAAAAGCTTCTGTTGTGTTGACATTTATTTTGCTGAAGACAACAATCTCAAAAATTTATTTTTTTCAGATTGTATCTGTAATCCTGGTTTTTAGTTATTTGG